GCTCCCTGATATGATTGAGGAGCTAATGACGCTAACCCGGTCACAGTGGCAGTATCCCGGCACTGCCCGGTACTCCCTCTGTGAGTAGGCTGCCCGGCTTCCAGCTGCTGCGGGCGGACAAGACGAGAGACAGCGGTGAGAGGAAAGGAGGGGGGCTGGCAGTGTTTGTTAAAGACGGTTGTGGTATCTCTGGGCACATCGCTGTGAAAGAACAACTCTGCAACACAGACATTGCGCTATTAGCCGTTAGCATCCGTGGAGGCAGCCTGTGACTCTCTGTGGTCCGCAGACTGCAAACGCAATCTCCGAGAGCTCTTCTTCTAATATCAGGGGACTTTAATCATGTCTCGCTGGACTCCACACTGCCCACCTTCACCCAGTATGTGACCTGCCCCACCGTAGGCAATAAAACATTGTACTTAATGTATGCCAATGAAAAAGTGGCATACAGTTCATCACCTCCCCCTGCCCAGGGAAGATCCGATCGTAACCGAGTGCGTCTTGTCCCTGTGTGCAGCCCTTACTGTGCAGGGAGCCACTAATCACCCACGCAGTGCAGAGATGGTCCGCGGAGGGCATATAAATAAATAATAAAAGCAAGTAAATGACAGTATGCTCTTTCTGAAACAAACGAGACCTTAACTTTTATCAAAATACCGTTTTACTCAGTTTAAAGTAATACCACTGTATAATAGCCTTCAAATTTAATAATGTTAACAGTATCTCAGGAATATTTTAAAGACTTTACACTTGGGGACATTACTCTGAAATTGTTGCACAATTTGTTAATGGAGTTTTTTGCAGATTGATCAACCTCTGCCCACATTTCTTCCAAAGCAACTCTGCTTCTCTAAGATGCTCTTTTAATATCTAATCATGTAGCTGACCTGTTACTCTTAAAATATCCCTGCAGCTGTTTCTTTTTAGAACCACTTTTTTCCAGCCTTCTCTTGCCCCATCCCAACTGTTTTGAAACATTTTGCTGCCATCAAATTAAAATGGACTTATTTTTAACGACGTAGTCTCTGTGTAAACATTTGACATGTTTTCTATGTTCTACTGTGAATAAACTTTGCCTTTGACATTTGCAAATCACTGCTTGCTCTTTTTTTTTATTCACATTTTACACCGGAGTCCAGTATTTTCAGAACTATGTTTGTACAAAGCGTAATCTGTACAAAGCAAAACATAATCTGCTCGCTAATGTTAACATTTTTCTCTGCTGTGAACTGTCACAACATCACACACGCTAAACCATTTTATACCTACTACACTATACTGAGCCACTTCAAGACCTACTATCGTTTTTTAATTATTTACTATCAATGCTTTATAGTTGTATTTATCAATATCAACAGCTGTACTTTTAGATTATTCAAGTTGACTTTATCGAGATTGTTTCAGTTGTAAACTTTCAACTTCACAACTTCCATCTTACACACTTTAAAAATCACTCAACATTTTTATTGTCAGTGTCACACAGCTCGTTCTTATATCTCCACTTGTAGCTCTCTTCACGACAACACAGACACAGGTCGGTTCTTTGAAACGGGCGTTTATTACTTGGGCCTTCTCTCCTCAGCTTCACCATCACCAGTATGCCAATACGCCGTGAGAACTGGTCACGAGCGAACAGTACAAACCAATTAGCAACTTTACAGTACACATATTAAGTCCAAACACAAATAACAACATTTCTCAAATGACAAATACCTCGTTGGCTGCTTGTCCTGAAAAGAGGTCCTTAAGTCCTTGTGTTGCTTTTTCTTTTAGTAAACTTTTAACTTAAAATCGCTTCATGAGAGACATCTGCTCCCTCGCAGTCCATGCAAAGTCTCGTGTACTCTCGTTAAGGGTATTCTCACGAGACACTAGCTCTTACACTTTACACATGTACATTTCAAATAAAGTCATTTCAACACAAACTATATATATTCATGATATTATGTAACTTATTATAAATCAGTCATCTACATCATGAAATCCAACAGAACATTTTAACAGCATTTACACCACTACTCAATGGTACATAGTAAACACGTATCATAACTTTTCACATTATATGTATCCAGTCACCTAGATATTTTGAAGTCTTTCCACTTGCTGCTATTATGTTTCAGTCATTAATTGAACTGTCTCAGTGATATGTGGAGTCCAGAAAGTATATTAAGCCAGTGATGAGCTCAATACCATGACTCCCTCTGGTGCCACTTAGTGGATTAAACAGTTCTACCACTTGCTCCATCACCATTCCGTCCAGAGTAAATTCAATGTCTGGCACAGTAATCCTCTCAGGCCAGTCGACCAGCAATCCCAGCTCATCTGTACCATGAGCAGCAGCACCACCACCAGAATCTGCACCTGAGCCCTGAGCAGCAGTCGTCTCACTCTCAGTGGCTGTCACACCACCATCAGCTGTCCCACCAATAGTCCCATCAGCAGCAGCTGCTCTGGTCTGAAAGATGTCCTGCATGGCAGTTGAGGCTCGGCCCTGTTGCTGGAGGCTGCCTCGGACAAAAATCTGTAATGGGCTCAAGTGTCTCTCTGTCCGCAAGCCATGATTGTTCCACTGTTGAGTGAAGTCTTTCAAATCTCTGTTGATCCTTGGGAGATAGATGTAATGGAGAGCCCAAAGGTGCATTTCATTGTCAATGTCAATGATGCCTTCCTCCTCCAGGTGGTGAAATAAATCACAGTACACATTGGTCATTCCTCGCCACAGATCACCCCAGAGCCTCTCAATTCTCTGATTATGGGTACTCCTTCCTCTTAGGGCACTTCCACGATCAAAGCCTCTGAAAATGTTCATCATCAGGCAGACAGCATTGTTTTCCCCTCCTCTGTCTGTCCGGACCCTCGAGGGTACACCATAGGATACCAGGATACACCATAGGAAAAAAAATACATACAAGTATGTTTTACACTTTTAACATATTACACAAGTCAGATTTTTGCTGTTATTTGACATGTTTCCATTAAAATAGGTTCAAAAGAATTGCACAGATTGCATGTGGAAACAGGTGACTCATTGAAGCGCTGATTGCAGTGCTGACATTAAATAGTACATGCTGTGCACGCCAAGCACTGTGGTGTCAGAAGTGTCCCAGAGTGCCCGATGTGTTTGCATCTGTGTCTGAAATCCTTTGTGCCTTCTCTCACATGATGATAATAAACCAAATGCATTGATCATTTGAAACTTAAAAAAAAAATACATACAAGTATGTTTTATTATTTTTGCTGAGTGGAAAAAGACCTAAAATCTACCAAACAACCGGAAAGTATATAAACTGGGAACACAAGTGCTATATAAAAGTGGTAACTAACCAACTGCTCTAAAACTAAGCTAACTGACATAGTAAATTTGAAAACAGTTAAAAAAAAACATCCCCATTCATAGATTCCATGTCACAATCTCAATGGCTTACAGAGTGATGATGTCACAAACGTCTTAGAATCTTTGATCCTTCTTTTTCTATAAATAGAAGTGAGAATCAGCAGTTATCAGTCAGTTTGTTGACAGCAGTTGAAGCCAGCAGCAGTTCGCAAACGTTCCAACGTTCAAGCAGAGATACATTTGGTCATGCCTGCAAGAACCAAGTTTAAGAGTAAACCGTTTGAGCAGACCTTTCACCTTTTCACACTTTGAAGAAGAAAGAAGAACCACCTATTTTATTTCATTATATTTTGAGGTGAAATCTGCTTTACTCTTCTAACTTTCAGTGTTAATCACTTTGATAGCATCAGAGATGTCTTTCGGAAATGTCCAGGACAAGTTAGTCCCCGGTGGCTGGCTCTCCTCCAACTACCGAATTATAAGTGTTGTCGGAGAAGGGACATATGGCAGAGTTGCCAAATGTGTCCAAATGGCTAACAAAAAGATTGTAGCCATTAAAATGATAAAGGATCAGGACCAAAAAGACCTGTTTAAAAACCAAGAGCTGGCTGCCCTGCAAAAACTTAAAGCCTGTAACTCCAGCAAGTACAATATAGTCGAATGGTACCAGGCTTTTACAGTCCGTGGACATCTGTGCCTTGAATTTGAATTCCTCGAAAAAAGTCTTCTTGACTTATTGCAAGAAAGATATTGCAATCCGCTCAGTTTAAAGGCTATTCGCCCCATCGTCATACAGATAGCTTTAGCTCTTAGCCACCTCAAGTCGATTGGAACAATCCATGCAGACTTGAAATTAGAGAACGTAATGCTGGTGAATAATCCCCAAGAGCCATACCGAGTTAAACTAATTGACTTCGGTCTGGCCTGTGAGACCTCAGCTGCCAAGGTGGGCTCATACATCCAGACACGTCCGTACCGGTCTCCGGAGATTATTCTGGGGCTTCCATTTACAGAAGCCATAGACATATGGTCTCTGGGCTGCATGGCAGTGTCTCTATACACTGGTTACTTGCTGTACCCGGGATACAGTGAACATGCCATACTAAAATACATAACGGAGACTCAAGGAGAACTCCCAGAGCAAATGTTAAACTGTGGGCAAAAGACTGCAAAGTATTTCTGCAGGGAGTTCAATTCCGACAACATCTACCACTGGAAACTCAAGACAACTGAACAATATTTCCAGGAGTTTGGGATTGAGTTTGTTGACAAAAGAGTTAAAAAATTGAAGTCTCTGGATGAACTCTTATATACCGAGATCATTGAAGATGAGGATTATGCAGATGCAACTGCAAAAAGGTGTGATATCCTGATGTTTGTAGAAATGGTAAAGCACTTGCTTCACCTCAATCCCCAAAAACGAATGACACCCAATCAGGTCCTTGAGCATGCCTTTTCAAAACTGAGCCACCTTGCATGGATACGCCAGAGTAGCTCCTATGTTGAGTCCTGCTATGAGCACATAAACTACTTAAGGACAAAAGCACAGCAGGGGCATACTCCATAATGTGCTGTGCAGTCTCATATGTATATTATATATATTGCTCACTTATTGTATTTACCAACATAAAGGAGTTATGAGCAAAGAAAGGCCACACCATAGTGCATGTTTAAATAGGGAAAGTTTATTGATCAAAATGTATTACGCAAATACGCATTACATTTTTTTCAGCCCCCCAATCGAGAAAACAAAACCAATTACATGTTCAAAGCAACGGAACGGTGGCCCAATATCAGAGAGAGCTCCACTCTTGAGTGAGCAGTGATAATTGAGCAGTCCGTTTTATTCTGCAGATTCAAGCTGCTCTTTAAAATTTTCGCCACCAGATGTCACCGGAGAGGACTGTGTTGAAAAGCTTCGAGTAATGAACCGTTTTTCAATACAAGCTTCAGTGCTTCAGAAAGCTTCATTTGGCCATCACTATCAGAAGGTGAGTAACAGCCAGGTGCTGCTAATCAAATCAAACTGATTATCAGTAAGAGTGAGAAGCAAAGTCTTTGCTTGTCTGGAGCATTCAGGTGTGCGTCAGAGATATCAGCAGTGATCTTACAGAAACAACTATCGCTGCTTCTCTACCTCGAAAGAGTTATAAAGTAATTTCCAAACAATTTGACATCCAGATCTACAGCGACAGCATTTAAGACTGCTGACTGTCTTCCCAGAGGTGGATGTCCTGAGAAATTCCCAAGATCAGGCGATACGATGCTCAGAGAAACGATGAAAAACCATATACACTACAGGCCTCCGTTAGTGTTTTAAAAGTTAAACTTCATGACAGTGCAGTTCAGTTAAAAAGACTGAACAAGAATGTTTTGTTTGGAAGGATTTCCAGGAGAACGACTTTTCTCTGACATGGACAAATCATTCGTTTTGGTCATTTCATGGGACAGTATCAAAAATACTTAACAATAAACAGTCTTAAATGCCAAACAGGCACATTTGGTTTGAATTCCACCATACAGGATTTGAGAAGATCCAGGAAGCCTTTAAATTTCATAAAGGTTGTGTTCAAGAAACATAAGAGTAGTCGATTTTTGATAAGCGGGTTTGTTTTTGAACTGTTCAGAGAATGTCACTGCTGCAACTGTGTCAAAGGCTTCAAAATAAAAGTTTAGATAAAAAAGATTTATTGACAAGCAAAACAGCATCTATATATTACATAAAGTCATCTTATGTACAAAATTAATTTGTATTGACTGAAAACACACAGTCCTCGTGCTGGAGCTGCATGTTCAGAGTCTTTGCAGTCATCCTTGTCAGCTCACGGTCACAGCACTTTATTCTATGCTTCTGCACTTTGGAAACAGCAGATGTGGAGTCAAATCAGGATTTGTTGTCTTTGCCTGCTTGGCTGGGGGGAGGATCCATCAGGTCCTTAAATCCCAGTTTCTCCAGAGGCTCCTTGGTCATCAGCTGACTGAAAACAAAAAATAAAACCAAGACGATTATACACGTTACCTTTGTCGATTCACTAGGTAACATTTTCATTGGCTTTCTTACTGGTCCATTCGGCACTCCAGGTAGTCTTTGGACTGCAGTCGGCACATGGAGTTGTCATAGTTGTTCTCTCTGAGACATTTCATGAACTTTTCTTTGAAGGCTTTGCACTCTCCTGGAAAAACAAAAGGACAAAAATCAGGACTTGTGCATTTGTATGGTTATCTGTAACCCCCAGTAATAAAACTGTTTCTTCCGAGCCACACAACGCTAGTGCTTAAGGGGAACATTAAAGAATCAGGAGCCCACAGGTTGTCATCAACTTTCAGCCCCGATAAGGCGGCCCATCACGATCATCAGTCAGGATTTACAGAAGAAGCTGACATCCAGCACAAGTTATCGAGAACAATGGCCAACAACATAATGCACATGTATTTGATTTTTAATTGCCATTAAAAGTCTTTGAAAGTTATGACACGCTAATGAGGGTTCTTCTGTAGATCATACACGCAGAAAAAAAAATCATGTTAATAAAAACAGAATCAGTGAAGTTTGTATGAAACACAACATTTGTGCTACTGCCAAAACTTTCTGTCCATGACTGTGTATCATGATACTTTTCTAGCTTTTTAAGTGAAGGGCTGCTGCCAACATATTGCTTGAAGGTTCTGTGCAGTTTATATAGAGCAGGACAGACATTTGTGTTTTCAAATGAAAGGAAAAAAAATCAAACAGGTGAGGCGTTGTCCTACAAAGTTTCCTGTTGTTTGTGAGTGAGTTGTTTTACATACACTCATCATGCGCATGAATGGTCATTTTGAGCTTTTATAATTTCTTTAAAGTGCAACCAAGGTGCAACTTGCTAACGAACATTTAACCAAATAGTGCGGGTGTACATATATGAGCCTGTGTTGATTAAAGAAAATAATTTCAAACTTGTGCACCCAATTATAGTTTTGAAAACCATGAAAGATGTGTGGTGGTCAATCTTCATTTTCATTAAATGTCTCTTATTTTAATAAAGCAAACTGATCAGAAGTTTAATGTAGTTAAGAACATTTATAACTGGTATAAATATAACGCAGAGCAGCACATCATACATGTTTGTGTAAATGCTATTTTCATTACAGTCTGTCCTTCAGACCTTCTGTCCTAATAGCAACAGCATCAAGCATCGCTGTAAACGTCCATGTACCAATCCTGCTAAAAGGCAGCTGGCTTAGACAAAGGTCTATGAGTGCATTGCACTTATTTAAAACATTTCTAAATATTTATAGCATACACTGTCACAGTTATTATTAATTCTGTCGCTGTTGTGTCTGCGGTGAGGGGAACGAGAGTTATTTAACGGGGCAGACAGGCTCAGCTGGAGCTTACCGAAATGGTCCAGTGGGAACGAGCCTTTGTCCGGAGGCCGAGGTTTAAAAGTCTTCGACCCGAAATTCATAGCGGTAGACATTTTCTCTCAGTTCACAGAGGGCCGTCTCAAAATGTTTTGACATCAACAACAGCCTCTCCGTTTGACCCTGCTGTCGCGCAAGTATGACGTTTTATCTTGAGGGCTCGGCAGACAGACATTAGTAATCGATTGATGCTATCGTAAACTGTCGTGAAAGAATAAGAGCTGATATTAATTAAACCCATATACGGGTTTAATTTTGGTCCTAATAAATGTGTAACTTATTTTTTTCCGTGGCATTAACAACCAGTCTGCTAAAAATGACCATGTAATGCACAATAGCAAACTGATACTATAGGACTACAGGGGGAAAGCACAGTGATCAGAATTTCCCCTCATTATAAACAAATGGCTTTGGATACTTTGCAAAATAAAGTTCTCATGAAAACTAAAAAACTGTTTCATAATTCAAAATAATATAACGGACTAAAAAAGAAACTCTGTAACTGTACACTGAATCTGATAGAACCGATTCATACTGTTCTCTTAGATACTGTAAGAAATTGAAAATCATAACTACTGGTTGAAAATATTATTTAAAAATGATTTGATGCAACAACAAAAATGATTGCCTCAGGCAGCTGCCGACAGACGGTGATGAGGAACAGGAAGAGAAACTGTCACGGACGACCAAGCCCCTACATGGGATGACAGACAGAGGAACTGACTGACATTAGGAAATCCTACTGGTTAGAAGCCGACAGCGCAGAGGCTCCGATGATGGCAACACAAACACAGGCCCCAAGTGCCAGATCCATAGAAGTAAGCGTTTACCACAACCAACAGGACCCAAGCTGCAGACTGTGCAAGGCTGCCCCAGAGACTATCCAACACATGGCAGGCAACAGGATGTAAGATGCAAGCTGGGTCTGTGTGCAAGAACATCTGTGCTGCATATACCCTAAAAGTCCCCAAGTCCTGCTGGGAGACACCAACAAAGGTGGTTAAGAGAAACAGGCCAAATGCGCTGTGGTGTGAGTTGTGTTAAATGTGGCAATCGCAGCAGACAGCAACATCAGGAAGAAGGAGCAGGAGAAAATAGTAAATTACCAGCGGCTGAAGGAACATCTGGAACAGATGTGGAAGTCCAAAGCGATCCCAGTGGTAATCAGGGGTCTCCATCCAGGAGAGTGCAACCCCGGAAACAACCTGCAACCTTCCCTCAGATGGGAGATATATGTTAATATGTATTTATTAATAGTAGGCACACTTATTCACCTCTCCGTTTCTGCGTGTGCATTCAGAGCACGTTCATGTTATCAGTTTCATTTAAATGACATTTTTGCACGAGCGGAGGATCCGACTCTACTGGATTCTTTAAACATGCAGCTTCACCTAGCTCACCGCTGGATGTCTCACTTTTCTAAGATATAAGGCTGAAGGGAAAGCAGGCAGACAGACAGGAGGGGAGGAGGCGGCGATGGTAACGTGTGGGCTTGATTATTATGCAGCCAAAGAGCCTGGGTAATAGAGCTATCAGTGAGAGGCAGAAAGAGCTCTCGGCGCAGATCGCTCAGTTTCCTTTTCTCTCTCTGCTCTCTTATCCTCGGGCACAGCTCGGATCGGAGGTGGCAGGTGACCAGTCTGTCTGTCTGTCTGCTGGACCCCAGCGGCGGATGTTCTTGGGCACCTTCTTCCCACCGCGGTGAGGCTGGACGGATAAACTCACCATGGCGCTGGAAGCGGAGGGGAACAAGCTGCAGCTGCAGGACGTGCTGGCGAGACCGGGCAACGACAAGTGCGCGGACTGCGGCAATCCAGGTAAGGCAAACCTTCCCCCCTCCACCCCGTCCACCAGCCCCGTTACTGAAAACCCGGCGCCCGGTGGAGCCAGCGCATCCAGCTGCCGGTGCGCGTGTGCGTTTCGAGCCGCTGTACACCAGCAGGGGGTACATGAGCCAACTGGCACTTCAGAACCGCACAAGTCTGAGCGAGTCTGATGACAAAGGCCCGCAGATACCCGAGGACAAAGTAGACCAAAGTAGGCCTGACAGTGGACTCTGGACTGTCAGCCATAAACCAATTAAACTGTGTGAAGACATGCCAACTCTGCTCCTCACTCCGTGTGTGTGTGTGTGTGTGGTTTTGTGTTATTACAGTCTACACTGTCAGCAACCTCCATAAAGCTCAGTTATTACTTGTGTGTGAGTGGTTTTGCTCTACATGTTCCTGACTGTGTGTCCACCCTATTCCTGTGCAGCTATTTATGTTCATTTTTCACTGTCTTCATCTCCCCCAGATCCTCTCTTCATCATCCTTTCAGTACACCCCTCCTTCCTCGTTGCTCAAATGGCAGTAAACCAGTGAGTGGCCAGTCGAGGCTCCAGTACGGGCCGAACGCCCAGTGCTTGGAGCCGAGCCTGCCCGGGACGCCTGTTCCTTGGCCCCGGTTACGGCTCCTCTGAGGACTGGCTGTAGCAGAGCAGCATTTTTATTTTTTTTTTACATTTTATTTATTTGTTTATTTATTTGAGCCAAAGGCACTTTTGCAAAACGAGATAGCTTTGTCTGAGGGGTAGACACTTAAAGAGGGATTTCATTGTGATTGTAGCAAGGTGGAAAGGTTGTTATTTTTTGTGGTTGATGCAGCTTTTAATTAGCAGAAGCATTTTTCTTTTATTTTCCTTTTTTTTTATTATCAGCAACCTACATAACAACAGTTCAGCCTTTTGTCAGTTTATAACAGCTTTTACACAATGGTTAAAGTGAGATATGGCAGGGCGGGGGAACACTGAAATCCGGTGTAGTGGTGCAGCAGGGAACAACGACTCACCTTAAAATAACTCAGAGATTGATTTGTACCGTTAGCTCCAGTGGGCTTGTGTCTTAGCAGACAGCTTGACTCCAAAACCATGACTACTTAATATTATCTCTATGTGTGTATGGATACCTTAGACTGCCCTCCACCAGGCCAATATCTATCAATCAATCAATCAATCAATCAATCAATCAATCAATCAATCAATCAATCCTTATCTGCTTATCCAATTCACGGTTGCAGAGGGGCTGGAGTCTATCCTAGCGACCACAGGGGGAGAGGCAGGGTACACCCAGGTTGCCAGCCTGACACAGGCCTAACACAGAGAGACAGACAATACATTCACACTCACATTCACACATCTTTGTAATTTAGAATCACCAATTAACCCAACCTTGAGTCCAAACCCATGACTTGATATAATATAAGTTTGCACATGGATACCTCAACCAACCCTCCACCAGCCCAAATAAAGTCAATTAAAATTAGCCACAGTGTTGCAGAGCCACATCCACAAGAAGAGGTTTTGGTACATATCCGCTGAAAGCTAACAAAGTGTGAAATTATCACTTGAAATTAAGTTTATGGTAGTTAGCAAGGCATCACTGTTATTTTCGTTATATTTTTCGTCAATGACCCTAGTTTTTTAACCTTAATTAGAGTTATAAAAATTGATTAGTATGAACAATAGGCTCAGTAGATATTTAGTTTACAAATGAGTCCCATTGGTGTGCTGGGTTTGGTGGAAAATTGTGGATATTTGTGGCATTCAGAAGATGCATCCTAGCTGACCCCTGTGAGACCCCAGCCATACGTGAATGCTATTAAAACATATGAGATGGTTGTTCAGTAGAATAGAGTAGAAAAGAGAGTAGAATACTGATGGGCAGTAGTCATTAGCTTCATTGTTAATTAGTAAATGTTAGCATACTTGAGGAAAGACAGTACTTTATAAGTGTTACTTATGCTGGAAGCCAATTCTCCAAGCTGAAATTAAAATGAAACCTGATCTGTTATGTATCTAAAAGACATCCTTGTCAAGTATGCTGTCTTCTTTAAGATGATGAACATGGTAAAGGTTATAGACGGTTAGCATTAGCATTGTTTCTGTGAGCGTGTGGCTGTGTTAGCATAAGCATTTATTTGCAAACCTGTACAGACTCACAGGCCAGCTAGCATGACTACAAGCTGTTTGGGGAAAGCTGGCACAATGATTTACACTGATCAAGCGTTATTTGTCTCTTGGGATGTCGTTTTTGATGATTTGTTCACTGTTCTGCAACAGTTCACTATGCCTCAGGGAAAGATTGGCATTGAATGTTCCCGAGCTAAAACTGTTAAGCAGTTTTCCCTGGCAAGTACACCACTTTTCACCTTTGCAATGATTGCACAATAGAATCTCGCCTCTGAAGAGCAGTTGATGTTCTGTTCTGTGTGGCAGTGCCAATTGTATCCGGGATGTAATACAACAGTTTAGGGGAAGGAGCTGGAAAATCTGATCCGCCAAGTCGTGTACACTCGTTTTCCTCAAGAGGTGATGAAATTTCCTTCAGCATGCGTGCTATAGTTTAGTTGAATCCAACTGCTTTGTTTCCTAATTACTGTGCTTCTTTCATAAAATTTCACAAGAGTACAAGCAGCACAGATGAAACCCCCACCAGTACCACTTCCCCTGTTGGCAGGAACCAGGAATCCCCAGGCTAATAATTCACATCTCATCAAGATATGAATTTTTGATGCTGGTTTTGGTGGTTCAATTATGAGATGGTTTCAATATAGAGAAAAACAGACAAATCCGCTCAATAGACAAAAGAGAAAGGAAAAAAACATCATTGTGGCTGTTAAGTAGAATATAACAGATACCGTACAAAGAGGTAAGTACAAAATGGGAAATAGTTTTTTCATATTTAGTGAAGCAAACATTTGATTTTCCTTAAACGAGTGCCATCTATCCTTGTTCTGCTTATCCAGTTCTGGCTTGTGGGAGAACTGGATCCCAGGTATCGAAGGGCGAGAGGTGGGGTACACCCTGCACTCGTATATCCAATCTAAAACCTGGAAAGAATCCACACAAGCATGGTGAGAACAAGCTTGTTCGTTCAGGCCACGGGCTGATTTCGAACCCAGTAACCTTCTCCCTGTACTCAGAATTTTCTTATTCATTTTACACATCAGTCACTGACTAAGAAACAGAGCAACATTGCACACTTCCCAGGTAGAAACTTGTCATCGACAAGGTGGATCTGCCCTAAAGCAGCGGTGCCCAAACCCGGGCCACAGACCAGTACCAGTCTGAGTCATTTGGTAACAGGCCGCGAGAGTTGATGCCCGGGTGTGAAATCTATGGTTTTCTGGGTTTTCCATTTTTTTTTATCATTTTTATTGTTAACTCGGTTTCCCTGGGTCTTTTCCCATGTGTTATGAATCGTTTTTTTTTTTTTTTTTTTAATTTTTGTTGTATTTATCCGCGACACCTTAAAGGCCGGGCCGTGAAAATATTGTCGGACATAAACCGGTCCATGGTGCAAAAAAGTTTGGGGCTGCTGCCCTAAAGGATGCTCTACTTTGTCCCCCTCTTTTGCTTTAATAGGGCCACAGTTTACAAAATGAACAACATGCTGTGTTCAGTGAGAAATGAAACTAGCGATTGAGGCCATAAACTCATCAGAAGACTGTTTGGTCATTTCATAGATTGAGGGAGCATAAGGGTCATTTTTCACAGGCTTATATAAAAAATGCACTTATTTTATCTCCCAGGAGATGCCGGCAGCATGTCCCTCAATTAATCTTGTATAATGGCCATTCCCAGATGTTGCAGTTCACACAGTTCTTCTCCTAGTTGACTTAGTGGGAGTACAGACATTTAAATTTGTTTGAAATCTGATTGCATTAATGACAGTGGTGCATTTGTTAAAGAATCTGTATGCAAATGGTTTCTAAATTTAAGACCAGACCAGAAACCAAGACAAGCGACTGTTAAGTGGGTGTGAGGGCTTTCAGCTAGTTCACAAGTAAACATTTACACTCTGAAAAGGTCTTCTCCAGAAATATATCGCTTTCTGCAATGACTCACACGATAATTCAAATGGGATTAGGAAATAAGAAAAGCATACATTGTGCTAGACAAAATTATTTTGGAGTCTAGTCCACTCGCCGTTGTGTGGTTGTCTGGCTCTCGCCTTCTCTCGATTTCACACCTACAGCTAATTTAGAATCACAAATTAACCTTAAGCAGATCTTCGGTGTGTGGGAGGAAACCCGTGCAGAAGCACTCCAAACAGAAAGATCTTTTTTGGTGAAGAATGAAATATGTCAGAAAAAAGACAGTTTCTAGCTTTACTTTGCTATAAAGGTGACAGGTTAGCCTGCTTTTCCTGAAAGATGAGGTCCTCTATTTTCCCTGCTACGCTACATCGCATGAAATCCTTCTATTGTTCATGAATTTGCAGACTTACAAAGTAAAACACATCGCAGCATCAGCAGTGACCTGCCTGTCCTTCCTCACCCGTGTCTTATCGTCCCATCTCAGATACAACATTCATTAAGCAGGCAGAAAGCTTGCTGGAATTGGGCTGAAAACACGCATGGCTTGTGGATGTTTTTGTAATGCTTAGTCATTCTTACTTTGCCCTTCCTTACCTTTGCGTTTCTTCCCCTATCTTCACTCTGCTGGTGCGCTTTGATGAGACCGCTGAGAGGCTGAGCTGGGCGCCTGTACTGCGGGGTTTCTCTGTAGCTCAGCAGCACTGTGGTTCTGCCCTCTGCTGAGGACACACAAATGATTTTTTGCCTCCAGAGAGAAGCCTTAGCAATCCTTTTAGGTGTGCAGAAGGTGTTTATAGAACAGCAAATCAGCAGGTCCAAGATGAGATATAACGAGGTTTAGGTTCCTTTTGCAGTACCACTCATTGCTTTCTGGGGGTTTTTAGGTTTGAAACGTCTGAAAACGGCCGGCCTGGGTTCAAGTCCGACCCGCAAAATAATCAGAAATAAATAATAAATA